GAACCGCTTCATCAGGTTGCAGATTCCCAGGTAGGGCCGAAAAGGGCGATTGGACTCTCGGGTTTGATCGCCCGAATGACATGGCCACAGGTTAATGGGTGCAATTAAGACTCTTCTTCCAGGAAGGTGTAACCAGTGGTGGCGTTAGGGTTGTTGGGGCCCTGGGCGTGAGAGTCATTTGGGGGCTTAATTTTGATGACCTATAAGCAAGTTGGACATTTTCGATTCATGTTGCCCTACCCATGAAACTGCCATGAAAGTATCTTACTACAATATTGATGATACAAATATCCAGTGTAATTAATTTTTATTAAGCGTGGGGCCCTGGGAGGTCACCCGGTTTGCCCTCCATTAAGGCCGTTAGTGGTGTTACATGCAGTTGTAACATGCAGCTTGAAAAACCAGTCATGGTTTAGTGTTAAATTTAACTGCGTGGTTACATCTGAATATCAGTCAGAGAATTGTATGTCTTTCCATTCAGCTACTGGAAGGCGTTCCCTATTTAGCAGGCAGAAAGGCTTTGCATTTTCCACCATTCCTATTTTAAAACTTTTTTTTTTCTTTCGCATCCTAAAAAAATGAGACTGTTTTAGAAAGGAAATTCTTCCTTCCATCCAGATATCGTACAGTCTATACTTAGTTTCCGGAGTTGGACTCCCAGGCTCCCTGGAGACTTACTAAAGCCAGCACACCCACTTTGTGTGCATTTGAGTTGGTAGCACTCAGCGATGTTTAGTGAGTAATGATTCATACTTTAACAGTCCAGTCTTAATGTCTTCATGCAAGTTTGCCTCGCCTGGGACAAAAGGCAGACTTCTAAAGTTGTACCTTCTAGGTTAAGCGTATGACTTTAATTTGGCTGATTTCTGACCCGTGATTTCCACATGTGTTGGCTTTCAGGTGGGGCATAATAGTCTCTCCTTTCTGACGGCAGGACTTGCTGGTTGCCATGCTAATGCTGCTCGCCTTTGGAGTGCTGCTGCAAGAAAGCCTGGCCGGTCCCCAAGATGCAAATCTCTCTGAAGTCGGAAACCTTCCAGAAACGCCGTTATATAGCTACGAAAGTCTCAACTTGCCAGAGGAGCATATTCCATACTTTCTGCACAACCATCGGGCTCTTGCTGCAGCCTGTAAGCAGGACTCGCATTGCCCATATAAAGTAGGTATTTCTTTGTTTTCCTAAATGGCATTTTGGTGGTGGTTATTCTTGGATGTTAAAGTTGGTATGGAGCCGGTCGATGTTCTCGCCAATAAATAAGCCTCTCATCTCTGGGATGAGAATTGCCGTTCCTTAAGGGCCCGCTGAGTCCTTTTAGGAACTGCATTTCTTGTATTGTCAGGGAAACGGAGCGGGGAAAAAACTCCTGGATTTGAGATGCAAAGTTTTAGTGGAAACTATTTTGCTTAATTGCTCTTACAGCCAAAAAAAAAAAAAAAGGCTTCTTTATGCCAGACTACTTCTTGTATAGGAAAGGAGCTTTATTATAGGATGACTAGGTGTGTTTTTACCAGGCTGAGGTTGTTTGCCCTTCTCTATCAGATGTGCATGAGACTCATTGCAGCTTAAGTTTCGAAGGGCCTTATCGAACAAAACACTATGTGTGCATGTAATGTCTACCACGCCAAGCCACATTGATATCCGTGGCAATACTCGCGCATCCAGTCAAATCCGTGTGCGTTAAGTCGTGCCTGGGCAAGCCGAGCGGTTCCTTACCGAGAATACTGTTTAAGAGAGTAGAAAACTGCAAGATTTATTTTCAAGAGACAGGATATTTGACTAAGCACGACTCGTACGTTGGCTTTAAAACTGGCGGTCAGGCAGCCGCTTTCAACGGGGATCTCTGTGTTCTAGAAATCCTTGAAGAAACTAAAATCCTGCTGGGGCTATGAGAAATCTTGCAAGCCAGAGCACAGGTTCAGTTACCCGGGGTGTGACTATGTTGAAACCGGATGGTAAGTTTCCTCTTTAAATGCGTGGATGAGGTGGACGGCCGCATTGCTTTTGCATTCGTGTCGCCTGGGGAGCGTTGCGGCGGTCTCTGCCTAGCAGAGGGTATAATCACAAAGCTCTTTACGGAAACCTGCGTAACGTGTAAAGCCTTTTTTTCCTTGTGCGAGTCTAAGGGAAAACACATGCTTTGGCATACCTGCTGCTAGCATGTTTTATTAACCTGGTTATAGTGCAGTTTGAAGCCATGACTTTTTGATAGTCTGGGGTTTTTTGCACTCTATCAGGGAATCTAGCTTCTCGCTCCGGTGGGGATTTTTGCCCGTATCCAGACGATAAGCCGTTTCCTGTTTTGAAACTTGAATGGCAAGGAACAAGCCATGGCTGGCTTTTCTGTTCCAGTCCCTGTTTCTGTAGTAGCTTCGGGATAGACGATAAGCTCCTAGCTCTTCACTGTCACTCTCCTTCTTGTGGCGAAGGAGTTGGGGACCATATTTTGCCTGCAGCCTGTGGCATCCCCTCTAAGGACTGAACTTGCAAGCTTAAAGGAGAACTTTATCTCCTGATCCAGGCTAGCTGAAAGGGTGTTTTCAAATGATGGTGAGCCAAGACATTTTATTTATATAAGCTGCTAAAATACATAGCCCAGGGGAGTGCGATTTGGCCTCTCATTGCCTAATAATTGTTCCTCTTGAATGCCCTTTCAGGGATATGACTCATGCCATAGGGGCTACTGCAGTTAAGAACAAGCAGAAGTAATTATAATTACTAACTCTGACTTCTTTTATTAAAGAAAGTGCAATGAACTATTTTAAAACCAAGCGTGAAGAAAAACCTAGTGGTTACTTCCATTATAATGTCTTGGTAGAAAGCATAAGCATGTCTCTTCTGTACAGGACTCTGGCCCAAAGTTTCTCATTTCCAGTCTCTCCAAAACAAATATATAAGCTTGTGTTCTCCAAGCACTGTGTATAGACAAGTATTTCTTCATATTTGGTGGCAGCTAGAACAAATTTTTAGTAACCTAACGTACAAAGAAAATACATGAACCGAGGGGCAGAGGGAAGCGCGTGGTGGGGATTGTTCTGCAGGCTCTGTGCTTTTGTAACCAGCTGTCTTTGTCTCCTGTCTGTCCGTGTATCTTCTGCTTTTGCTGTCCTGGTTTTGTTCGCTTCTGGGTTGTGACTACTTCACGTTTCGAATCCTGGACTAGACGGTCCTCTGTTAACCGTTGTTGCCCAGCAGCCTCTGCACTGCGATGCTTAAAAAATGTGTGAATGTTAATTTTGTCATAGCTGGCTTATTTTGAAGTCTCCAATGGATAGTGAAAAATGAAACAGTTTCTCAGGCTTTCTCCTACCGTTTGGATTAAAGGGACACATCAGAAAGCTAATGTATGTTAAAGGAAGGACCTCAAATTTTTTTCCCCCATGCATCAGGGCGAACAGCATTGAGACGGCTCAACAGATTTTCTGGAAACAAGCTGACTTTGGCTACGTCAGAGAGCGGTTGGATGAAATGAGAACCCACTGCAAGCCAATGGAAATGGTAGGCGTTTGGGGGTATTGAATAGGTAACTTGTGAAGGTTGCACTATCTTGTAAGCGTGTTAATTTTTTTGCAATCAACCCTTGCTTGTTTTGTTTCTCCCAGGGGGATTCCTCGCTTACCTGTTCACAGTACCTCCAGTATTGCAGAGCTACCAACCTGTACATAGATTTGAGGACTGCCAAGAGGAGTCATGACAGGTCTCTGAATTGTTCATGTTCTGTTGTGACCAGGAAACAGCAGGAAAAATGTATTTCAAAACTCATATCTGCAAGGGAAGGAGACTTGTTGCATATCTGGTGCACCTTTCATCATGGTATCTGCCTGCTAAAACTTTATCACACTATAAGTCTTCAGCTCTGCAGTCTCCAGGGCCACTTAAATTGCTGCTGCTGAAATCTGCCAGCAAATGCTGAAGTCCAGACAGGACTCGCAGAGCAGGTTGTCTCTTGTCTGTGTGGCCTGCAGGTCTGGTCTAGTTGGCCTGTTCAAAGCAAAAGATGGAAGGAGGAAGTGGTGGCGAGAGAATCCAATCCCTCCTCTGCCTGCTTGGATGATATCAAGTGGCGTGGGTGGGCATGCAAGGTAGACAGACCGATTTTAGGATGCTTACCAAATATAATATTTTTGCAGAACCTGCTTTTACCATATTTGTCACATATAAGGCGCACTCCAATTCCTAGTAGCTGTTTTTTGGGGAAAGAAGTGTGTTGTATGTGTGAGAATATGGCCACCCCTGCCCAGAATCAGAGAAATGTTATGGCTGAATGTAGTACATGGAGACAACAGGGCCAGTTTGGGTAAGCATGCAGATAGTTTGGGTTATGGCAAAGGGATGTCTCATACTTCAACTTGAAGCACCTTACTGAACTGCGACTTGGCAGCATTGGCTTGAGCCCAGGAGCTGGGAAAGCTAAGCCATATTGCATTGCCCATATTACGTTAATGACAGACTGGATTGCTCCTGGAGTTTCAGGCTTGGGTTGACCCCTCTTGAACTGCTGCACTGGGGTCAGGTGTATTGTGCTGATGGGGTTTTATTCCTCCAGGTTCAGGGAGGACTTTTTCCAGAAAGGAGAAATCGGTGGCTCTTGCAACCTTGATGTTCGAGCGTTCCTGGCAGAAGGTCAGCGGAAGAGCCCTCTGCAGTCTTGGTAAGATTTGCTGTCTTGGCCACCTCTCAGTGAAGTTATCTTATTCTTTCTCACTCTCTTTCCTGGGCTCCAGCGGCTCTCAGTGGGGCGTTTAGTGCGAATGTGTTTGTGTTGGGAAAACCTTGACTCATTTGCAAGAGGAATGAGTGCAAATCCCATCCCATGCACTGTTATCTATTTGCAGCAGTTGGTTTTGAAGCATCCATGTGGGCAAAGGTCAAAATAGCCCACAGGGCTAAGTTGTAGTGGCTGCGGATGTGACGCTTTTGTGGAGGACAGGCTGTTGTCCCACCTTGACCCCAAAGCAGCAGTCCTTTCTTTTTTTTTTTTTCGCTTGAGAACCACTTGAAATGGTTTCTGAAGTGAAATAGAAATGACTGGGCACAGTGCTAGAAGCTGGAAATCCAGGGCTTGATTTCCAAGCTGCATGGTAGGGTGAAGGTGTGAGGATGCTGCCTCTGTAAAGTACCTCTGGGGTCAAAAGCCCTTTTTCCTCCATTCAGCTAATGGGCTCTTGACTTGAGCCTTTTGCTGAATTGAGGCTAATATCGTGCTTGTTCTGCATGGTCAGGGTTGCCCCCACAGGCTTGCAGTTGGGCTGATGGGGTGGATGCTCAGGGAGGCCTTCCTTGGAAGCTGGATATTCTGAGATGGACGGTTGCCCTTTTCAGAGCTGCTGCCATGCAACTGCAAGTAGTTCCCTTGCACCTGGAAGCACCTGAGGATTCAGTTTTCTTCCTCATTCTGTTTCCATTTGGGCATCCCCTGGCTACACCAGAGTTTCTTGGATCTTCCTGTCTGGACCCTCTGAGCTGTTGACTCTTGTGTTTGGTAATTTTAGTCCCATCAGCTGAACACCCCCATCCAGCTCCAGGGGACATAGACATCCATCCTAATTAGCATCAGAATCATCAGCTGTGCTGTTATGGTTGCTGATCTTAGCAAAATATTCAGATTGGCATTCAAGTACCTTCTTAAATGCACATCAACACGTGCGACTTGTATGTACTTAGGTTAAGGTACTTGCATCAGCTGCAGCCTGGACGTGTGGGTGGGCAGAAAGGTTTTCTCAGTTCTCTGCTGCCTTGACTTGTAGATCAAAGATGCTGCTCGACTCTTGAGATCAAAGGCAGAGTTTAACCTTTTTGAAGCCTGTAGCCTCAGAACCATCAGTTTTAATTGAAATTAATTTTAATTGTCAGATGTTATTCAACGTGGGGAATATTAGTCGTCATATCAATTTCCCCTAATGAACATCGAATTGTAAGAGCGGAATTGGTACTCATAGTCAGAAGTGTGACCTGTGCATGAATATTTCCAGGTTTGCTGAACTCCAGACATTTACTCCCCTGAGTTTCAGACCCATAGAAGACGGGAAATGCGACATTGTTATTGAAAAGCCAACTTACTTCATGAAATTAGATGCAGGTAACAAAGTCTTTGTATTTTTCTGCATCGCGTGGTGAGAGAGAAGAAGGGGTTACCCTGATGTAGTGTATTGAGTTACACCGTGCATTATTTGTGCGTGTACGCACATGGCGCGCACACATTTCGGGACACTTTTTCCATTCCCTTTTCATAGAGAAAATTTGTGAGGTTAGTATAATCCAACTTGTGCTTTGTCAGACCACTCCTTTTGCATGGTGGCTTTCTGCTGGTGACTAATTTAATAGCACTTGCATATCATAGGAGTAGGAACAACTTACTTTCTGCTGTGTGAATTTAGTAACTGCAGCTTCTGCACATATAGAATATATAGCAACTATATGGGGGAAGGAAGTTGTACATCTAAAGGAAAAAAAATCAGGCAAGCAATTTTATGTAGTTTTATAACTTAAAATAAAAAGAGCCATTTCATGTTCAGTGAAAAGCAGCTGCGGGGTGTGAAGCAAGGTAGTTAGTTCATTGCAAAAGTCCTAGTGATTGCTACTAGACACCGTATCCAGATCCTTCAGGCAGCCAAGGCTTGAAGGCTTTATGAAAACTGTGCTACTGTAAATGGTTTGCACTTCTGTAATTTGTCAGTCCTTTCTAATGCTCTGTTTGGGAGGCATAACATTAATAGAGGAGAATACTTTTTAGTTTAGCATTCAGATAATTGTTAGGCCCTTTTTGAAACAGGAGCGTGTGAAAGCACTCTGAATGAGTCTGCTGAGCTGATTCCTGCTTTGGCATTGGTGCTGAAGGAATAACCTGGGATCAATGGCATCCAAATATCCCCAGCCCTGCAGGACGGAGGTCAAGGCAGAGCTGACCTTGATGCCCTAAAAACCCTGAAAACAGTTACAAAAGACGTAACACTGGTACTTACCATGTAACTGGGCATTGATGAAACACTGGTACTTACCCATGTAACTGGGCATTGATGAAGCAAAGGATCTGTGCTGTGGTAGCTCCTTTAGGATGCAACAGAAACCAGTTGCACATCTAATTTGAAATGACAAGTTACATTTATTTTATTGCTTGCTGCTTTTGGCTGTTCTGTGGTTTAAGTAATCTTCAAGACATAGTGTTTTCTTCCCTGACTTCCACTACAAGGGGTATAGGAAGCCCTCAGTTCTACGAATGGGAAAACAAATGTAAACTGCCAACAGTCCTGTATGCAGGGGTGAAGACCTGTCTTGTTCAGAAGGAAGTGACTCAACATGCTCATCCACAAAAACAGGAATGAATGCAGCTTTGCTTTATTTGATCTCAACAAATGTTTTCCCTCTCCTCTCAGGTGTCAATATGTACCATCACTTCTGTGACTTCGTCAATCTTTACATCACCCAGCACGTTAACAACTCTTTCAGCACTGATGTCAATGTTGTCATGTGGGATACGGTAAGTAGCTCTGGAAAGGTGTGGATCAGTCCTATCGTAGATACAGCATAGTGCATCTGCTCTTGTCCGTGTTCCCTCTGTGTCCTAGCTCGACTACAAGCTAATCTTTCCAGCACTTCACTTGATATGATGCTTCTGACTCATCTGATAAAAACTTTGTTTTTAAGGTTTTCTAAGGACGTTTATACACATGCTCTGGGGTGGAAGAGGCGGCGCTTTAATTAGAGTGGCTTGGAGAACTGCTCTAATTAAAGTGCCCAGAGTGTCACGTGTATCAGTGTCCCCGTGCTGAAAAATGGTGGCGGGGTGCTTTAACTAAAGCTCATTGAACGAGCTTTAGTTAAAGCACCCCTGCCACCATTTTTCAGTACGGGGATGCTGATACATGTGACACTAGAGTCTGCTAGAGTGCAGTAAGAACCACGCTCCAGCATACTCGATTAACCGAGTCTGCTCTGACGTGCTGTAATTGCAGCGCATCAGAGCAATCTTGCTGCATGTGTATGTGCACCCTAATATATTGTTCCAAGGGAAGTATCTGGCTGGGATCATCTGACCCCAGCCGTCTTTCCTGCCCAGGCAGGGAGTCAGACTCGATGATCTGTTGAGGTCCCTTCCAACACTAGCATCTGTGAATCTATATTGGAAGCAAATCCATTTAAAATAATCGTGCATCTTCCTGCATGTTAAGGTCACCAGGACTGTGTAGGTGTATGTAAATACATGCCTAAGATCATCTTAAAAGGCCAAAGATGTCACAGTATTGTGAAGGACTTTTTGACAACCGGGCTACTTTTCCTGTTAATTCCTGTGTTATTGAGGATGTTGCTATCTTAATGTTGTGTTGTATTTCACAAGTACACAGCATAGAATGAGTGCAAGAGGTGTGCATTGCTTATATGAATTTACTTATTGAGTCTACACACCAGTGTTATTCCCTTATACTACCAGATGATGGCACCAAGAACCTGCTTGATTTGCTGGGACTGTTTGATTATTGAAAGAACGTCTTGAGTTTATTATGCATTTTCCACCCCCCCTCCTTTTTTTTTTTCCTCTTAACATTATTAGATATGTGCATACTTCTTAGCTACTGTAGCACTGCTGTTCTATCCTCATTAGCATTGCTTTTAAGTGGAGTAAGCCAGAAAGCGAGTAGGGAATGCACTTGTAAAACCCCTGTCCTATACGTGCAGAAGTGACGTTTCCGTGTTCCCTGACAATCTGCTCTGTTGTGGAGGAGCAGAGCTCCCAGCTTTGAAGATGAGACTGTCACTACTGATCTGGGAAAGCAGTTCCTCTATTGCTAGTGAGTTATATCCAGCCTGCAGTTCATTAAAACGTCATCGCAGAAGTGGGGTCATGAAAGTAGAAAGGCTCCCAGCTAATGAAATATGCTGTCTTTTAGAGTCTCTTCTCTTTCTCTGGACCCTGCCTCTGTTTTGTAGGCTTTTTTAGTCTTTTTTTTTTTTAGTGATCTTGGAAAATGTATTCCTCTCTTATTAAAGACAAGGTGGACCGAACAGCTGCAACATCGCAAGGCAGCGTACGTGCTCTAAGCAGACTGCCTCAGGTCTCTGATGTCCCATCTCGCTGCACTGGGCAAGGAAGCATTGATGCTCTTGCCTTCTAGATGCTGCTGATCTATTTTGGAGCTGCAGGAGAAGCCTCTGCTGCTTGAGCTGAGGAGGTTGATCTCTTGGCTGGAAGGGAGTAGCTGGTTCTCAAAGGTCTGTCCACCAAAAGGCATGGCATGATAGATGTTCTTCCTGGTGGAAGAGCTAGCAGTCACAGCAGCACTAAGTGCTAAGCTTACTTCTAAATCTTAGCGGATCCAAAATAGATTTAACAGCTTTTCATTTCAAATGCCTGCATTGCATGTACATTGACAACCAGGTTTCATCTCAGCATAGAGAGGTAGTTAGCCTTGTTAGTCTGAAGTCAGCAGACAGCATGTGAGACATGGGTTGAGGAGCAGGTAAATGAACCTCTGGTGTTATAATCCGTGCTATTCAGTCCCTTGATGATGTGGTCTCTGTTGAAGAGGGGGCACTAAAGGCATCCAGGCCTAAAGCCAGGTCTGGTCCCTTGCTATGAATAGGAGTTAAGTAGTGTGCTGCTGGAGAGATGCTGTTTGAGGTTGGGAGGCTGCCTGAAAGCCAGGACAGGGTTGTCCTTCGTGGCTACCTTGAGATGGTTATGTTCCAGAAAGGGTTGGAGGTGTCCAAGTTGCTCAAGTTGGGGTTGTAGGTGACAACCAGAGGTATTCTGTTGGCAAGAGCTGCCTGCTACACCCTCCCCTTGCCCTTGTGCTGGGTTTGGTCTAGACTAGAGTTTATAGGCCTGTTTATCTCAAATTAGGCTGCTGTACACTTGTAAGGATCAGCTTAGACGCTCTGCTTGACTGTGGTTTATGTTAGGCTGGCTCTTAGTTACTAAAGTGACAAAGCCCATGCAAGAAACTAATGTAATGCATAGAATTCACCATCACTCAGCGAGGGCTTCTTTCATATGCATTCATTTACTCACAGGTGTGCATACGTTTGTTTTTTTGTCTTTCTTCCTAGAGCTCGTACGGTTATGGAGACTTGTTCAGTGAGACATGGAAGGCATTTACGGACTACGAAATAATACACTTGAAAACGTTTGACTCCAAAAGGGTATGGGATTGCATGTTAAGCCAGAACTGCTAGCCTGTATGTAATCAGGGTGACGTGCTAGAACTTTTCTGCCTTTTCACAGACAAATATTTTAGACCAATTGAAGTCGGGGCTTCCTTCAGGTGAAAACCGAGGTCGTAAGCTAGTTCGTTGTGGCTGCACATGTTGTATGCATATGCTAAACTTCCCTGCTTCTACGCGAGGGGGTGTTTTTGGAGTGCTCTTCCCTCAGCGCCAAAGCTAAAGGTTCAGTTACAGTGCTGTCCGCTCTGACACTACCAGTTTTTATATATTTGAAATAATATACTTGAAATATATATCCTATTTCAAGTATTATATAATATAATCCATATATAATACTTGAAATATGATACATGAAATAGGATATATATTTCACGTATATTATTTCCTGTATTTTATATATCTGAAAACTGGTAGTGTCAGAGCGGACAGCACTGTAACTGAACCTTTAGCTTTGGCGCCGAGGGAAGAGCACTCCAAAAACACCCCCTCGTGTAGAAGCAGGGAAGTTTGGCATATGCATACATATATCATGACATTTATAATCTCTAATCTCCACTCCCTGCCCTGATAAACTAGCCCACAGTAGTGGGCCTTTTTTCCTCCACAAAAGCCTTCTGTAGGAGGATCTTCCTTCTGACCCTAAACTACTATGAAACGATAAAACCTACCTGTATTTTAGCAGATGGTGTCTACAGATCCCTACAAAGACAGGGCCACCTGTGATTATAGATGCCTGAAGCAGCTGATTGTACCAAATGTTTGTCTACCTACTTCTCCTGCCCTGCTCCTCATTTGGTCCTTTCAGTCTTGCATTTTAACTAACCCCTAATGTGAGAACTGTATGGGGTGGCGACGATGCGTTCCAGCCATTTCCACTGTTTCTTGTACAATTCAGTGGCCGTCCCTGATTGGAGCTGAAGGGGGCTTTTCAATATGAATACTGTGTGCATTGAATGAGTATGGAAGATGTCCTTGTTCAATCAGTTGTAGGTGTGTGACCTTTACATGTTAATGCTCTCTCTTTTCAGGTATGTTTCAAGGAAGCAGTCTTTTCGTTGTTGCCTCGAATGCGCTATGGCTTATTTTATAATACGCCACTGGTGAGTCCTTTTTATCCTGCCGCTGTGGAGCCTAGGCATCCACATATGTATTGTTCCAGAGCTTGAGTTTTCCCAGTGTTGGCAAACCAAGTCTGAGGGTAGATTGCAAGCAGAGCATCTTATGATAATACCAATCACTTCTCTGATTTCAGATCTCTGGCTGTCACGGTACTGGGTTATTCAGAGCATTTTCCCAGCACGTGTTACACAGATTAAATATCACACAAGAAGGACCCAAGGTAGGAATGATACCATCTGGGTTTAATGTTTGCAGGTCCTTTCTGTAAGCCATCATCATTCGTGCCCAGAAAAGTAGTAGTATCTAGCTGGATCTAGTAGAGAAGAGTAGTAGGTGTTAAAGTCTGTCTTTCACGGGGTTGTGTTGGTTCTCCCTTTTGTTCACCAGCTGGTCAGTCAACACCATTAGTCCACACCTGAGCGTATAAATAAAAGGCACTCCCATGTCCTCTCCCCTTGGAGAAGTCTTCAAACCTCCTCTTGTAATGCTGAGGAGCTACTGCCTTCCCCCGTCTCTTCCCTTCCATCCTTCCCCCACTCTTAATCCATATATCCCTGCACAAAAACAAAAGCCCTTCCAGGTCAGGAGGCCTAGATGCATGAGCTCCAGAAGGCACCACCATCAAGCACTGCTCTGAAACCTAATTGAGGGAACCTGGCAAAGGTCTGCAAGGTGTCTGGTTTTGTTTTTTTGTTTTTTGCAGGGGCTTAGGTTATGCCTCTTTAAAACCTCACTGTCCTGGTCAACTTGGGGGGTAGAACAGGACCAATTAAGCCTGGCTCAGAGCTTGCAGACTTGGTGCAGTTGTGTTGGTAACTACAACAACTTTTGGTTTTCGGAAGTATTTACCAGAGAGTAGCCTGCACGTTGTCACTAAGTAGCATGCTTTCAACACGTCGCAGGGGCATTTAGCTCATCACCTCCCACTGTCACTAATGGGTGTCCTGTGGCTAAATCTCGTTACTTCACTTGGAAAATTTACCCCGAAGGACCCAACTACTTTGAAGGGAAGAGAGCGAGAATTGGTAGATGGGCGAAATCATTTTTTTCCAGGGGTCTTAGAAAACAGATGATCTTTTCAAGTTTCCTGCATTCAGATGCAGGTAGTGCGGCAATTCTTTTTGAACAGAAGCAGGTCAGTTAATAAACATTCCATTTCTAGTAGCTGCAAGAGGTTTTTATTTTATTTTTTGGGGAGAATACTTGAAACTTTTGTTTAGCTCGAGGCTTTTACTTTACCTGCAGGAAACACACTTTATTGCTCAAACCATTGCTTCCTTTAAAACTAATCATAGGAGACCTATTGATTTATTTGTGGGCCTTACGGATGTTTCACTGCTTCTGTCTTTTTAGGATGGGAGAATTCGAGTCACGATACTTGCACGCAGTACAGACTACCGGAAAATACTGAACCAGAATGAGGTTGGGTTATTTTCCTTTAAAAAAACCAACAACAACATGTACCTATTGGGCACAATAGTTAGGGCTTTACTACTGTCTGATAACTCTTGAATAAACGTGCTCAGCTCTAGGATTACTGTAAGCAGAGTTGCCATCTAACCAGTATCCGTGTCTATGCCCCTGGGTCTGAGCCTGGTTGCTTTGTAAATATATCTGTGGAGCCTGGTGAAGGATGGGCAGTAGGGCTGGTAAATTAGATGTACCCATTCTTCAGACAATAAGACAAAGCCACAATATGATGTTAAAGCTAAATTCTACTTGGCTGACTGCTATTCTTTCGGGTTCCTATTGGTGCATCTTCACTAGACTTTTTGACAGGTCCGTGCTGAAAACCAGCAGGCTAATGAGATACTCCAAATTGTGCTTACAGACTAAAGTTTGCAGGTAGCTCTCACTGAGTAGGCACACTTGAATCTTTCAAAGTAGCCTGCATCTTGAAATCACAGGTCACTGAGTGTGTTTTGCAGTCAAGGTGCACCTTTGATAAAATGGCAACATCTAGCGCTTCTCATTCTTAGTTCGGAAAGTGACTTGCAGAGGTGGGTTAAGCATTGTTATCCCCATTTTACAGATGGGGAAACTGAGACACAGACATGTTAAGAGACTTGCCTAAGATCACACAGCGGGTCAGTGGCAGTGCCCAGATCTCCAGAGTCCCAGTCCCAGGCCCTATCCACTGGACTACGCTGCCTCCCCTCTGCTGCCTTATGTAGTGTGCTTTTGTAATGGACACATGCCAAGAAGAGAGAGGTTAGCATCTTTTCTTGATGGTACTTTCGTAGGGGAAAAATACTCTTGACTCCATCTCTCTCCTCCTGCACCCTGTTGCCTTTAAGAGCTGTTGTGATAATGCCCATGTGTTTTGACCATCGGCGTGATACTTTATTTAGAGGGGACCTGTATACTAAGGACAGTGGATTACCTAGGCCAACATGTTTTCAAAGCAGTTTGAATGTGAGTGAACTGTATTGGGTGATGTATCCCAGGAAGGGTCTGCGGAGCTCTCCTTTGATGACCGAGGTAGTAGGTTTGGTAGCAAATAAAGTTCAGAAGATGGCTTCAGTGTTAGGCCTTGACCTCACAGGAGCACTTTTTCTTACGTTGGCTGCAAGGTAAAATTTAATCACAGCATGTGGCATTAGGTTTAGCAGTTCATAGAGCTCACCTCATTTGGTTTGTTCCTGTGCTTGAAGTTTAGGCATTAAACACCTTGCTGGATGGGCCTCTAACCCTAAAGAGGGCCAGATTCTCATCGCAGCACATTGTGCGAATCGGGACTTACTGCATTTAGGTGAACAGAGTCATACCTCTGTGAAGCTGGATGAAGTGAGAACTGACTGAGGCTCGGTAGATTTGCAGTGGAGTTACTGAGAGCTAAGATGCATCTCTATGCACTTAAACACCTTTGAAACACCTTTGAAACATCTGGCCCGTAGAGTCTGGACTGCCCCTTTCAAGGCAATGGTTCAAATCCTAGTGGTTTCAGTGGTACAGAATCAGGTGCTAAGGCTTCACATAAAAAACAGTGATCTCCAAAAGTGCAAGCAGTGCTGTACTTCCATACACATAATCAGCCGATGTGCAAGAAGGCGGCGAATGGTAGATGGGGCGATGCGAAGGAATATCCATGTTGTCAGAAGCTTAGGCAGGCACTTATCCTGTGCACTGGGACCTGAGATGCAGAGACTGGAAAGCAAGCATTCATTACAGCAGTGGGAATAGGCACTCTTATCTCAAGTATCATTCCCTGTGGATCTGGGGAAAAGGAAGTAACATCGGTACCCCACTAAATCTTACTCTTTCCTTTCTAGCTTGTCAACGCTTTGAAGACGGTCTCATCATTTGAGGTCAAAGTAGTAGATTATAAGTACAAGTACGTATGTGTGGAGAGGATCGTGTTGTCTGTCTCTTGTTGTTCGTGGTGGTTAAGATCAAGACTTCCGCAGAATTTCCTACCTGGTTGTTTCTGAAAACCTAAGAGCCGTCAGTATAAAAGCAGTTGCTGTGGGAAGTGACTCGACATGCCCTATCCCTCAGCTGGCTCTGCAAGAATGACTGTCGAGTTGGATGAGCTCCAGGCTGAAGAACTTCACCTTCCTAAATCCTCCAAAGCAAGTGTGTTCATGTCCCGCTGCTGGGTTTGCTGCCGATCACCAACATTACCAATCCTTAGGGGAGCTGAGAGGCAGAAACCAAAGACTGGTTCCCTTTAGCCCCTTTAGTAGGTCAACTGGTCAATTCTTTTGTTATTTGTTTCTGTCATTGCATGCTAATGGGTGTAAGATCTCCCGTTATCGTTATATATTATGGTGGTACCTAGACGCTTTATTTGAAGTGGAGGTGCTAGGTAGATAGGCAGTGCATGCACCTTGTGCAAACAGTCCCTGCCCCAGAGAGTTTACAGTCTAAGCAAGCAGATCCCAAAGGAACAGAGGCCAAGAGTTGAAATGACTTGCCCAGGTTCACAGCAGGTCAGCAAGAGGCCCAGGAATTGAATCAAGATCTCCAGGTTTCCATCTAGTGCCCTCCATACCAGATGCCTGAGGCTAAGCTGGATGCCTGTCCCTACATAAGGTGATGATCACACATTGCTAGGGTTAATCGGAGAACGTACCTGAGAAAGTCTTAAGTCTGCAGCAGAGTCTTGTTAGAGCGAAGGTCTGAAAACGTGCTGTCTCTGCTCCCTCAGTGAATGGCTGCTGGGCAGTGGTTGTAGTGCAGGGGATTGTTGTTTCAAAGATATCCGTGCTTTGGAGCACTGTCCTTTTTTCCAGAATTACCTTTCAGTGAATTTTATGTTATTTGAACGTAGCTAATTCTGCTAAGACAAGGAGGCATTCTGGATGCTAACAAGTGTTATGTTATCTGCAGGGAACTTGCATTTTTAGAGCAGTTGAGAATCACACACAACTCCGATATATTCATTGGCATGCATGGAGCTGGACTCGCCCATCTGCTCTTTCTCCCAGACTGGGCTGTCGTTTTTGAGCTGTAAGTCTTTTTATTCAGTTTATTTCAACACATGACTTTTTTTTTCCATGCCTTTTTGAGGAACGATTCCTTGGTATAGTAGCATTAACAGTAACAGCTCTTGGGTTGTCTGCATGTTTCCATTATAACCATCGTCCTTCAGGTGTTCATAACATTCACCTTTTGGGGCTGAAACTTTAGATTAGGTCCTGGGTGAAGGTTATTCTTCTGGATGGAGGATTGAAAGAATCCTTATTTGTGATTTCATCAGATCTCATAGCTAAGCAGGGAATCATCTAGTCAGTGATCGGATGGGAAGACTCAAAAAAAATTTAAAAATTAAAAAAGACGAGGAGGAACATGGGTTGGATTCTCCCAGTGGGTCTGTTCTGGTAAAAGACCCTGATGTTGCCAAGAAGGGCATGTTCCCATGAGTGGGAATGAGCATTTCCTTGTGGACAAACAGTAGCGGCACAATGTGGGCTACTGCTGCTTGTCCTCAGGAAACTCGCATGCCATGCGCACTCCAGTGTGTGGCATGCTGCCCCGGGTGAGGTGGGAGAGGCCGGGGCCAGCAGCTCTTCCTGGGGGCCTCCAGGAGCTGCAGCACTCCTGCAGCAGGGAGCCTGGTCAGCAGCTGAAGAGTGGGCTCCAGCTGGCCAGGCTCTCGTTTTGGGAGGCATGCACTGCTGCCACATGTGCCGCCCTGCTTTTTTTAGGCATGGGTTTTTGGACCCTTGGGATCTCCTGGGGTAAAATCCCCAGCCTCCGGTGCTGCAAATTAGCAGTGCAGGGAATGATTGCATATGCGGCGTGCGTGATATGCAGTGGCGTGTGCAGTGTGGAGCTGCGGCGCCATGTACCGCTCTTGTCTTAATATGTCTGAAGAGGGCGTTTTGATTATCCAAGTGAGTTAAATCAGGTGAGGAAATGGAACCAGCCCTGACTATTGAAGTTCCTGTGATTTATTTAGTGGAGTAAGAGTGCTTGGTACCACCATCCTGGCTAAATTCCAGCACAGCTCTGTGCAGTTTGTTCTACCTAAATTGCCCTGGGATTTCCATTTTCACTATATTTCTTCTGAAGCATCATTATGAGACATCCTTACTCTAAATACACAGGACAAGTGTACTGCATTTCATTAAGAGCATTGATTTCTATCCTGGGCAATCCTGCTTCAATTAATGAGTTTGTCTAAGGTGTAGAATTTGGCTCGGGGTTTTGCTGCCTTACAAATGAGCAACGCGTATTTGTATTTTAGGGCAGTCTTTGAGGGTAACTATGTGATTCTGCATGTCCTTAGGTACAACTGTGAAGATGAACGGTGTTATCTGGATTTAGCAAGGCTCAGAGGTGTTCACTATATCACTTGGCAAAAAAAGGACAAAGTCTTCCCTCAGGATCAGGTAATGCATAGCAGGTGTGGGGGAAGGGGGAGGATGCTGTTTTTAATTAATTAAAAGTAAATTTGTTTTCCTTGTCTTCATTTGTGTATGTGAAATGTGATATCTGTGCGCTAGCCCAAATGAACTTTCCTCTGATTTAGGAGACATTTTGTATTAATAGCTGGAGGGGGAGGAAGAGGAATGAAATTAATTGGCCATTAGTACAAGCCATCAATAACACTGTTGTTACACCGTTACTTACTGACACTATTGCTATAAGGGAAATCAATGGATTTGAGATTATACATTGAAATGCTGATTGCTCAATTCATGACTCATTTTTCGAATGAAAGACGTGGCATGTGTGCTTTCTTAAACCTACTTTGTTTTTCCAGGGACACCACCCGACACTGGGGAAACATCCAAAGTTTACTAACTACTCCTTCGATGTGGAAGAATTTATGTACCTTGTGCTTTTGGCTGCCAATCACGTATCGCAGCATTCGACGTGGCCGTTTAGGGTAAAACATGATGAATTCTAGGTCAGATTCCAGATTTAAAATTATTTAAAATAACACTCTTATTTTTATGAGCAAAATAGGGGGAAAAAAAGCTGGTGGATATAAATGTATATTAACTTCTAGGGGGAGGGGAACCCCCATTATCCACTGACCAAAATGCTCTGAATGTTCAGTATTTTTATATCTCATCAGTTCTAAGTTTTATTATAGGAGTCTTTGTCTGTATGTAATGTCTATTTATCAAGATTTCTTTTACACTGATCCCTTGCATTTCTAATCGTAAGCTGCTCGTCCTGTGTTTACAAAGATTTGAACGTCCACCCATTTCACGTCAGATTTGTTTTAATTTTCGTCTTGCAGCGAGTTGTGTGTCCAGAGGAGCAAGCTGGGGCAGGGAGATTTAACACACGGGTGTTTCTGAAGTCGGTTGTGGTATGGAGGAAAGTACGGAGGAAAGGCCAACCTTCCTCCTTTGGTGCTGGTATTGTTTGGCCTTGAAGCTTTTATGCTATAGTACTGTACATGTTACAAATTAAATACCTGAGTAGGAATCGACTTCCTATCGCTTATGGGTTTTTAAGCTGTTTCTTTGTAAAAATACCTATTAGAATAAAGCAGT